TATTCTACCTCACCCTTCTGCATTCACCTCTCCTCCACTGAAAAATTTCCTGGGCAGGAAACAAATGAGATCTTGATGCCCACTGGGCTATCAATCTTGAGATACAGCATTCCATTTCATAGCTATTTGACCAAAGCCAAGTTACAAATCTTGAGGGAGCTGGCTTTCCAGAGAGACAAGGACACCTGAAGGCACGAACTGGGGTGAACCTTAGCAAAGCCTCGGGAGTCTTTGGCTGCCAAAGTCAACCAAGCATTTGCTTTCCTTGAGCCTGGTTGGAGCAGGAGGGGGTGGGGGGATTACGGGGTGCTGGAGTGGTCAGTGCAAGGCCCGAGAGGTAGATCTGAGGGAGGAGGCAATCTCCCCCATCCGCTTTCTGCTCCAGAGCCAGAACACAGATGAGTAATGAGACCAAGGTCACTCTGCTCTTCTTGGGAACAGAGTGGAATTAGGAGCCTTTCTCCTCCCACAGCTTTTCCTTACGTGGGTCTGACTCACAGAGAGGGAGGAGTGCCATCATTTTGTAGTAACCCGTGCCCCGGATGGAGATGGCTCATAGAGGACTCTGGCATTAGCAACTTGGTAGAACTCGTGATGATGTCAATCTGGGGGACTGAAGTTATTTGCTTTGATGCCTCTCATCCCGACATTACTTCAAATGACGGTCCAAGGGAAGGCCCAGCAGAGACGCCATGACTTATAATGATGGCAGGAGATCCACACAACTGCATGAGTCACCTTCTCTCACTTGCTTCATTCTCTCTCAAACACTAAGATGTGTTGTCACTTGCAGAAGACAGACAATCCCTGTGGCAAAGAAACAGGGAGATGAGATGCAGCAATATTGCCCTGGGAGTCTAAGGAATGGCCCCAGGCCCTTGTCCCTTAATGGGTTGGAAAACCCACCCCCCAGCAGCCAGGCCACAGAGGAAGGCTCTGCGTAGTCCCCACGGTTGAGCAATACAGTGTGCAGATTGGCTGCCATTGTCCCCTCCTTTGATGCTTATCCGTCCCTCCTGGATAGAAGAAACCCTCCCTTCTTACCTGGAGAAATCAAAAAAGCAAAGAAATGAAGTGATTTGCCCTGGGCTTCCAGACACACACTCAGTAAAAGGCCAAGGCCAGAGTAGGATCCCAGGCTGCCTGGCTCCTGCCTATTTCTGTCGACGGTTCAAAAGTCCCCACTCTTCCCTTGCCATGAGACGGCCTCACAGGTGTCCTTTCACATAAAACAGACATTGCCTAACCTCCAAAAATATTTTATTAGCATGTATTCATTGTACAAAAGAATAGGTTTCCTTCTGAGATTTTCCTACAGATATATAAATGTACTTTGATCATATTCTACTCCCATTATCCTCTTTTGTCCTTCCCTCCTCTCCCCCAAATAGTCCCTAAAAGGGACATTTAATGGCAGCTTAAGGTCTATGCAGAATCCTGTTCACTGCCATGCTCAGCTCAGGTGCCCTGAGCTCAGGTTACCTCAAGGTCAAAGACTTCTCTGCTGCTTTTCAACCTTCGCAGTCACGCACAGCAATGCCTTCAGTATGCCAGATACCCGACAAATGTCGCTGGCTGGCTGGCTGATGTACAAGCGAGGTCAAAAGGTAAATCAGCCAAGGAGAGAGCTGGCCCATATTTTCACAAACAGGCAGTGTGTCACTCCAAATAAAGTGCTTGTGCACTTTGGATCCAACTTCCTTCCCTTATTCTGAAAATCGGGGATCCTATTTGCTTGTGTTCTGTTGGTCATTTACTTAAAAGAAATTAACTTGGGGAGAAAAATGCTACTGCTAATTAAGCCTGAGATGATAATTAATACCTGTCACGGGTTTTGCTGCTGATGGAAACACGTGGGCTGTGTAGCCCTTAGCACGAGTGGTCATACCTGTTTATGTACGGCTTGTCCTGCCCCATATTTCACAGATGATAGGATATGGCTCTGCATCTCTTCATGTTAATTCTATTTGAAATACTCCCCACCAACATCTTAGGGCCCTGCCATCTAATAAGTGCAGCCAATTTATTGATCATAAATCTAGGACAAGACAGACTCACGTTGGTGTGGGCCACAGGGCATTTAAATTAAACAGGAACTCTCCAGCCATCTGTGTTTTAACTTTTTTATGCCTTGATAATAAGCCCTGTTTAGAATAATTTGCTGTGGAAGCTGGGACTTCGTGACTGACAGAGAAAGGCCGGGTATAAACAACCCAAGCAGGCCCCTGAATTTGCGAGAATGTCAGGCGAATTTAGACTCATCATAAAAGAATTCTCAGTGACTGTATTTCAATATGACACTTTTATGGTTTTTTATTTTCTAGCCCATTGCAGCCCCACAGCCCTGGCATGATTTATACAGCCTGGCAGTGCATAATCTTTTGTATAAGATATACAGGCCTCCAGAGGTTTAATTTCTTCTCTCACCGCCACTGACAGCATTTGTGCTTGCCTTCTCTTCTATTTTCATTTCTAATGAGATATTGGACTTTGCTCAGTGAGAGGTGATATTTCCACATTTGCAGGCTGACAGGCTAAATCACCAGATCTCAGTGGTGAGGATACAAACCCATTTAAACTGTGTCAAAATATTCATGGAGCCCCATTGATTTGGGCAACGGTTATTAGGAAGCTATTTGGAAAGTTCAGGTTTAATTTTTGGAGCTTTCTGCTGCAAAATCACTCAGTTACATCACAGAGAAAATGGCATTAGGAGGGTAAAGAAAAGTGAGAGGTGTGGACTGTCTCCTTCCGGAGGTCGGGATTGCTTTTAGTACAGAGACAACCTTTGTTAAAAAACAAAACAAAACAAAAATCCCGGAAGGATACTTTAGTTAATGCGTAGCAGGAAGCAAAGTAAATTCTTCCCATTGCATAAAAATGAATAGTATGTCAAGCTATTGAAATGATTTTTTTTTTCTCTATATATAAAGCAACAGTGAACACCACTGACAGGAGATTAATGCTTGGCGTTGCTACGCTGACTTTTACCTCTGCCTTTGATCTTAAATCTGGCTGCAGCTATTGCAAACAGGGGCTGAGTGCCTGAGTGGGATGGGTTCACATAGCTCAGCTTCACTTAGCATTCAGGAAAATTCCCATGAACTGGGCAGGAAGGGGCACTGAGGTAGCCATGCCACAAATGACCCACAGAGAGGATTGGGGCTCACAGCTGAGCTCGGGAAACGCACATGGATGAAGAAACCCTTCACGTGAGACTTGCTGGAGCAACATTCTGGGATGTCCTTGGATACTGCAAAAGATGAAAGTCCTTTGGTGGGACCAAGCGCAGTTGACCTTTCCATGGTAAGGTCATTTGCAATAGTTGCTTGATTTACAGCCTGGGACTTTATGGGAAGTTCATATTTACTAGGGTTCCTGAGTTCACAAGGACCTCATTAAGTGGCACACATGACACACACATACACACACAGAGGGAAATCACTTTGGCAATTTGCAGGCAATAAAGTGTATTCTGTACCACTTTACAATAAGTGGACATTAATGATTGCTAAATTACTGCAGAATTCCTGTGGAACGGCATATTACATTCACATTAATAGCAAATGAGTTCATTGTGAGACACAGTATCACGGCACATATCATGGGAATTAGTGAGGAATTAGGAAGTGCCAGGGCAATTAGACCCATGTGGAGAGAAGTGGCCACCCATTCGGATGAAGATCCACTCAGATGTCAACACCTCCTGACCTGGCTTTAGCAAGAACTTTGGTGCCAGGAGAACTACAGGGTCCTTGGGGAGTACATATGTCTGCTCTCACACTTGAGAACTATAACCCAAGATCCAAAGTTCCCAGAGCTGTATGAGTTTCTGGCCACAGGTCCTTTTGATCTGAGAAATGTACTCAACTGTAGAGAGGAATTTGGGGTAGATGTTAAAAGTTTAAGATCATCTGAAGGAAAGCTTGTTAAACAGTGGAAGAGCCACATGAGAAGAGTACTGAAGTCCATCTCTCAGGTGCTTCAAGGATGAACTTGTCAAGCAACTGGCTTCCTTGAGATCCTTTTCTTTCAAGGTTCAGGGACTTGACCTCTATGGAGAAAGTCAAGTGAATTCTCACCACCACTTCCAGAGCCACAGCACCCTGCAGCAGCTCCTTTATTCCCACGTAGCTCTAAAACACCCTGCATGTCCTCTTAAAGCAGAGTCGGATGCACCGTAGCATAACCCAAAGCATTATGAATGGACCAGACACTGGGGGCCCTGGGAAAGGAAAGCCCTGTCTTATTGCCAACCTCTTTCAGCAAAGAGGAAGGCTTGTAGGCATGCCCTATGCCAGCTTCCGAGAAGCATCCCAGCTCCAGGGAAAGCACAACTGGTTATTGATTCTTTCTGAGCCTCAATTTCTTAAATGTAAAATAAAATTGGTAGGGTGATTCACAAAACTGTGGTATTTAGATGGGACATTGTTAATGTGTTGTGCAACAGCGTTACTGGCTTGGAGAGTAACAAGAGTGACAAATGTGGTCTCCATTTCCTTCCCATCTTCTCTTCCTATTTCAACTCTGTCTTTGCTGATCCATTTTCTGTTTGTTCTTGCAGTGGGTATTTTATGTAACTAACAATTCATTGGCAGGCTCATAAAGAAAGACACTCTGTCTGGCATTTTTGAGCACCCACTGAATATAAACTCTGTTTTGGGCAAAACAGCAGATAAAGAATCGAGTCATGCTGGACGTTGGTGGCGCATGCCTTTAATCCCAGCACTCGGGAGGCAGAGGCAGGTGGATCTCTGTGAGTTCAAGACCAGCCTGGTCTACAAGAGCTAGTTCCAGGACAGCCTCCAAAGAAAAAGAAGAAAATTAAAAAAAAAAAAAAAAAAGAATCGAGTCACACACACCCCGCTGTCAAGTTGGTAGCCTTGTTTTGATTATTATTATTATTATTGTCATACACATATATGTGTGTGTTGTGGGATACCTGTATACTCTGTAAAGATGTATTTGCTGTGATTGTTGTAATGAAAAGCTGAACAGCCAGGCAGGAGAGATATGCAGGATTTCTGGGAAGAGAAGGCACACAGGAGATGCCAGGAGACATGGAGAGGAAGCAGGAGGTGCAAGATGGAAGAGATGTAACTCCATGTAATAGGACATAGATTAATGTAAATGGGTTAATTTAACTTATAAGAGCCAGTTAGGAACAAGCCTAAGCTATAGGCTAAGCTTTCATAATTAATAAAAAGTCTCTGTGTCATTATTTGGGAACCGGCTGACGGAACAGAGAAAGACTCATTGTGTGTGTGTGTGTGTGTGTGTGTGTGTGTGTGTGTGTGTGTACATACAGATACATACAGATACAACCTGCTAAGTCTGTTTTTGTTGGTGGTGTGTATATGGGAAGTAAGATAGTTGGGAGGGGCTGGGGGAAGGGAAGGAAGGGGAGAAGGTACTGTAATTCTATTTAAACTAAAAACATAATTCGAAAAAATTAGAAAGTATAACTAACACAATAAGCTTAAATCACAGATTTTCAAAAAAGAAAGAAAAAGGAAAGAAAATGCTAAATAAATAGATAAATAAATAAAAACTGAGTCAGACACAGGCATTTACTCAAGAGACCCACAATCCACCAGGTGACATAAGCCCCTGAATAAGTTTGCTTCCTACTTGTGATGCTCAGGGAAAAGCTCATTAGGGCCATGACTCACTGCTCAAGGTGGAGGGACTGAGAACAAAGAGAAGCTGCCTGCATGTGGAAGCTGCAAGCTTACTGTCGTCAGTTCATCACACACTGTGCTGATTTAGAGAAGATGCATAATTCACAAGGAGAAATAAAACTGACC